CCCCACTCAGCCTGCAGCCTCTCTGCACACGGGCATGACCTGGTGCGCACCCCCCCTTGGCACTACACTTGGATTCCTACTTGCAGAGCTGAGGTGGAAGAGGTGCCAGCTCCCATCCTCTCTGCATTGCTGCGGCCCTATCTCATCCTGCCAGAGGAGGCTGGTGCAGGCATCAGCCTGCTCTCCACTGCCAGAGGGAGTGTTGCCCCCACCCCCTGGCAGCATGGAGTTTGCTTGGGAGATGCAACCTGCAGCAGCTGCAGAGTCTGACACGGCAGCAGTCCTGGCCTGGCGGGGCCTCCCAGTGTCACCAGCTGCCTGACGTTATTTTCGCTGCAAGGCCGCTGGCCGTGGACACACAGGCCAGCGGGGAGGAGGCAGGCTGTGGTCTGCAGTGCGGTCACAAGGGAGCCGAGTTGCTCTGCTGGGAGCTCATGGTTACGCTTGAGTGTCCAGAGGTTTTCTTTGACCTGGAGGTTCCCCTCCTTTTATTCGGTCATTCATGCCAAGCAAGCCAGCGTCCCCAGGAGCGATTGTGCATGGCCAGCCCTGGAATCCCCGGCATCCTGCAAATTTGGCCGAGCAGGGATTTGTACAGAAGAAATCCTGACCTGCCTGGCCCTGCTGCTGTGAGCTAGGCACACGGAGAGCATGCCTGGACAGGGCTGCCTCTCACCTAGCAATGCCTCCGGGAGGAGTGCGCTCGGTCTGAGCCACTCGTGCTGTGGTGAGGTGACTAGGCACGTGAAGAGTTTGTCCGTTCCAGGGTCCAGTGGCAGCTGGGGGGGGGGTGCTGGCGTCTCAAGTGGCAGGGATTCCAGAGGGACAGAGGAGCCCTGGCTCAGCAGAAGGGCTCCCCTCTGCCGAAGGGCCTCTTCTATCCCAATCAGCAGATGCAGCAGCACAGAGGTGAGGATACAAGGGGATGGGGAGGTACAGAAGCTGGGGGGTGGGTGGCCCAGCACACTCCCTGAGGGTGGTGTCCAGTTGCCCTAGGCTACGCGGGAGAGGTGTGGGGCGGAAGAGGCAGGGTGGCCTGGCTCAGCAGAAGGGCTCCCCTCTGCCGAAGGGCCTCTTCTATCCCAATCAGCAGATGCAGCAGCACAGAGGTGAGGATACAAGGGGATGGGGAGGTACAGAAGCTGGGGGGTGGGTGGCCCAGCACACTCCCTGAGGGTGGTGTCCAGTTGCCCTAGGCTACGCGGGAGAGGTGTGGGGCGGAAGAGGCAGGGTGGGGGGCAGAGTAGCAGCTGGGGTGTAGGGACTCCCGCTCCAGTGGAAGGGGTGGGAGGGTTGCGTGGCGGTTGGAGCAGGAGGGGCGTGGATGGTTGCCGTGGCTCCAGCCAGCAGCGCTGGGCAAGGAGGCTGCGGCACCTGCTAACTCAGATTTGCTTGCCCTGTCCCTGTTACTCCCCAGGAGGCCAGGCTAGGCCTGCCCACGAGGGCCCAGCGGCAACTGGTCCTGTCAGTCCAGGGATGGTGAGTATGGGGAGGAGAGGAGATGGGAAAATGGACCCAGCACATCTTGGCCACCCTGGGGCGGCAGCCCACAGCCCTGCTGCTTCTGTCCGGAGAAATCAGGGACCCTGGAGTCCAGAGTCAGCAGGGAGCATTCACACGCACACGCCCAGCCTCCTTTCCCCGCTGCCTGCTGAGGTGACCTGTTCAGAGACAGGCAGGCCCCCCCGGCCACTACAACCTGCTCACAGTGCCAAATGCCTGCTTTAAAACCCTGGCCTCCAGTCACAGAGGAATAGAGGTGCCTGAAGAGGCAGAGAGGCTCCAAAATCCACTGCTGTGGTGCCACTGATATTCTCAAGGTCACCACTCAGCTGCTGCCCAAGCTCCCGGCAAGTGCATGACCCCCAAGTCCTGGCAGAGCCCCACAGCGAATGGGCAGCTCTCCAGCAGGTGCGATCATGCCTTGCACGACGGCCACTTGTGTACAGGCAAGGGGGAGTTTTGTGGCTGGCGGGTGGGCCGCAGCATTCACCGGGCATGTGGGAGACCTATGTTTGAGTCCTGTTCTGCTTGAGTTGAAGCAAGAAATTAAGCCCTGAACTCCTGCAGCCCAGGAGAGCACTGCCCACAAGGCTATTCCTGGAGAAGCTGTTCCAGGCTGTATAAATAAGCCACATTACAGTCCCCTGCTCAAATCAGGCAGAGCCAGGAGCCAAATGTGGTGTCAGCCTGGGAAGGACCCCAACCACCGAGTTTAGAGTCTGGCCCTACAAACGACAGCCTCCCCCACCCCAACCCTGCACTTCACTGCAAGAACAGGTCCCTCCACAAACGACAGCCTCCCCCACCCCAACCCTGCACTTCACTGAAAGAACAGGTCCCTCTTCGGGGCCATGGGAGGCTGGGGATGAAGGATCGGCTGGGGAAATCATGTGGCATACTGCATATGCTGATGGGGGCAAATTAAGATTGTGTACGTAGCCTTGAGCTGTGTCGACTCCCCCACCAGCTCCCAGTTTCTGCCCCTCCCCAGTAGTGCTTGTCTCATCGGACTCCTTGTCCCACTCGGCTCCTGTCTCTCCCCACCAGGCTCCCCCTCTGAACACTTCCTGGTGCCGCAGGAGAGTAAGGCTCGTTCCCCATTCCAGGGCCTGGCGCCAGCCCAGAGCAGCTGCACTGTCCAAGCTATTTCCTTAAACACAGCAGAGCTTCCATCCCACCCTATTGGTCCCAACCATGGCCGCTGGCTGCTCCCGCATCAGCTGAGGGCGGGGTGGACAGGTGCTGGGGGACGACACACACTTGGTTGGCGGCAGAGGGAGGCAGGAACGCAGGGCTCCTGTGGTCACTTGCAGGTTTTGTGTGGTAGTGTCCTGTGGTTCTAAACCTGCCCCATCACATCAGGCTGTCTCCACCCCCCTTCTATCCATCCCATCCTACCTCCAGTCCCTCTTCCTTATGTATCTGTCTACCCGGCCCAGTTCCTGTCCCCTTTCCCCTCTCCCCATGTAGCTCCCTACTGCCACCCTAGAGCCTGTCCTCCCCCTCTCCCTCCCCACTTCTCTCTCCCTCTGGTGCCTGCAACCCCCTTTCACCCACAAAATGCCAACCTCCAATTCTTACCCTTCTGTAGTGCAGCCCGGCAGCTTCCTCCACTGCCTCCTCGCTGCCTGGCTGCCAGAAGTGGGAGCATTGTGAGCCGGTGACAGGACCTGGCACACGGCAGCCACGCCTGTAGGAAAGTCCTTGCTGCCCTGGGAGGCTGGCACAAGTGCAGGCTGGTTGGTTGCACACATGAGCCGTGAGGAGATGGAGCATGTTCAGTACAATTAGAATCACCAGAGAATTTTGCTGCCAAACACTAACAAATCAATACTGAGTATGTGCACGATGAGCGTTCCAGAGGCTGAATTTGGGGGATGTTTCACAGAGGTAGTAGAAGGTGACCTCTGTGTGAGCTGCTTGCCAGATCTCAAGCCAGGCTCCAAAGCACAAGACACCAGAGCCTCCCAACAAAGCAGTTGGAAGAGTTTTGTTTTAATATGGGCAAGCGGTTCACGTGTGTCTTGTTCTTTGAAGTGGCTGTTCCACTAGCATTGAAATGTTCTAAATTTAAACCCAAATAGCAAAATTGGAACCGAGGGTCTTATGATGGCAGCCGTGGGGCCACTTTACGATGCGGGTTTCTACCCGCGCTGCCTCTAACAAAACAACGGAACTGTTGGTACCAAACAGCTAATGCAAATTCCGTCCCCCAGAAAGATACGGAGCAATCACTTTGCAAACACCTAGAAGAGAAGGTGAAAGTAAAAGTCATTGTAGATTTGTCACGAACAAACTGGGTGCGTCTAGACTGGCTGCTTGAATTTGTGCAAGAGCACTGACTTTGTAATGTATGCTCTTTTGTGGAAATACTTTTAACGGAAAAACTTTTCCATTACAAGTATTTCCGCAAAATCATGCCAGTCTAGACGCAGTCACTGTGTCCAAGCAACCTAATAGCTCTCTTTGCTAGAGCAACAAGCCTTGCGGTTGGGGGAAGCAGTAGAAGTGGTAGAGCTAGACTTTGCTAAGGCTTTAGATAGTCTCCCGTGACCTTTTTATGAACAAACTAGGGAAATACAACCTAGTTTGGGCTACTATAAACTGGGTGCACAACTGGCTGGATAACCATTGCCAGAGTGTAGATATTAATGATTCACAGTCCTGCTGGCAGGGTATAACAAGTGGGGTTCTGCGGGGACCAGTTCTGTGCCTCATTTTGGTCAATAGCTTCATCGGCAATTTAGATGATGGCACAGAGAGTGCACTTATAAAGTTTTCAATTGATACTGTGCTGGGAGGGGCTGCAAGTGCTTTGGAGGCTGGAGTCACAATTCAGAAGGCTACGAACACACTGGAGAAATGGTCCGAGGTAAACAGGCTAAAATTCGAGAAGGAGAAATGCGAAGTACTCCCTGAGGAAGGCACAATGTGGTTCATCTCGGAAGGAGTACTGCAGAAAAGGATCTAGCTGTTCCCTGACTCTGGCTGTAGCCTTGTATGAGCATACCAATTAGCTACAACACTTGTTAACTGAATTACAACTTGGATTTCTTCCATTTAACCGATGCACAATACTTACTTGATGACTTTTTGACTATATGGAACATCTGAAGAATCCATTTTAGAATCATAGAATCCTAGAGCTGGAAGGGACCTCGAGAGGTCATCAAGTGCAGTCCCCTGCCCTCACGGCAGGACCAAGCACCATCCAACCTGCTCTTAAATATCTCTGGTGATGGAGATTCCACAACCCCCCCAGGCAATTTATTCCAGTGTTTAGCCATCCCGACAGGTAGGAAGTTTTTCCTAATGTCCAACCTAAACCTCCCTCTTAATTTAAGCCCCTTGCTTCTTATCCTGTCCTCAGAGGTCAAGGAGAACAATTTCTCTCCTTGAAACTGCTCTCATGTCCCCTCTTAGTCTTCTCTTTTCTAAACTAAAGAAACCCAATTCTTTCAGTCTTCCCTCATAGCTCATGTTCTGTAGACTGTCAGTCATTTAAGAAACCCAGTTCTTTCAGCCTTCCCTCACAGCTCATGTTCTGTAGACTCAGTCATTTTTGTTCTTTTCTGGACCTCCAATTTCTCCACAACTTTCCTGAAATGTGATGCCCAGAACTGGACACAGTACTCCAATTGAGGCCTATTCAGCACAGAGTAGAGCAGAACTCGTACTCTGTTAACTCTTATTCTGTTATCAGCATTTGGGACAAAGAGAGCCAGACACTAAGTTTCTTACAGGACCCTTTACAAAAAGTCAAGATGATTGGATGTTTTTCTTAGAAACTCTTGAAGGCCAGTGGAGACCATCTGATAATCTCTTCTGCCCTGCACATCGCAGGCCCCAGGACCTCAGCCACCCACGGCTGAAACGGACCCCTGGCTCTACTGGTTGGGTTACTGGAGATACCATTGAAAGGCTCCATTTACCCAAGACAGCAGCCCTGATTAAAATGCTCCCCCCCCCCCCCCCCCCGGTCTCTGCCAATCTTGCCCAGCGAAAATTCCTTTCTGACTCCCAATATGGTGATAACCAAGACCCCGAGCATGTGAGCAAGACCCATTACCCAGACACCTCTGGCATGCTGTTGTAGCTTGCCACCACGCTGGCTTTCCTGGCTCAGTAGAGTGCCTAGTTCCTGGCATAATGCTGTTTTCTCTCGTCTTAGCCATCCCGCTCCGAATGGTTCCCCCAGTCTGGTCACTTTTCATTGCCGATGCACAGCGACTGGCTGTTCAGAGAACGAGCCAGGCTGACTCCAAGGGCTTTATTTTGTCCGGTGTCCATTATTTCGTATGTATCAAAATTAAATTTCGTCTGCCCTTTTTGTTGCCCAGTTACATGAGCTTGCAGGTCGTCTTTGCACTTGACTAGTTTGCGTAATTTAGTATCCTCTGTAAATTCTGCTAGCTCACAGCTTAGCTTGTTTTCCAGCTCCTGACTAGATATGCTGAACGGCATAGGTCCCAAGACAGCCCCTCACGGGACCCTAGTATTCAGCTCTTACTGCTGTGACACCACCAGTAACTGATCCATGAGACGCTTTCTCTTGTAGCCCCACGACTAGTTGTCTTGAGAGCCTTTGGTGAGGAGCCTTGTTAAAGCTTTCTGAATGTCCAAGTGCAGTGTACCCACTGGGCCCCTGTGTGGAGGCAGCATGACAAACGCTGGGGTAACTCTTCCCAACATCTCCTGGGCATCTGTACAACTGACCATAGCCTCACCCAAGTTAGCGGGGACGGGCGTTAGGGTTACTGCCAGCGTTGGAGCCTCTGCAGGGTGAAGGAAAAGTTCTGTGTAACCACAAGGGCTTGTCCCTCCCAAATAAAGGTACGTTATCCTGGGCCCGGAACAGCGACAGCACCGCTGCTCAGCTCAGTGGGAGCCAGCGCCTCGGGCTCAGGCGTGGGACTCTTGCACCCCTCTACAGTGCTGCCCAGTTCCAGATGGGGCGTGTCTGCAATGGCCCTGAATGCTCCTATCGTGCTGTGATCACCTAGAGACCCCACTGGGGGCCTGGCCGCTGTCCTGCTGCTGTGCTTAAAAACGGGTGGGTTTTGGTACTAGGTTTTGTGCCTTTTGCTAGTGGCTCTTGACATTCGTTTTGGCCTGCCTAATTACACTTGCCTTGCCAGAGTATATGCTTCAGCGGAATCTGACATCCAATTTTTAAAGGGTCCATTTTTGCCTGGGGGGGGGGGGGCCCCTGCCCCATCCTGGCCTGTAAGGGGTTAACAGAGCCCTAGGGAGGCTGTGCAGGAGGCAGCCAATCAGCAAAGGGCTAGGAGGAGCAGCTAATCAGGGCCCAGCAGGCCCATATAAGGAGAGCTCCAGGCCAGAGCAGAGCTCAGTAGCTGCCTGAAGCTTGAGAGGACCAGGATCTTGGCAGGAGGAAGGTGCCCTGTGACAGGGCCAGGGGTTTGTGTCCTCAAGAGGACACCATGGCCCTTGGAACAACAAAAGCAGCAGTGACAGAAGGCGAGACACCTCCAGAACAGGGATGTGAAGGAGGAGTCGACTACCTGATAAGCAGGAGCTTACTGGGCAGCACTGTCAGCTACTCTCTCAACCCCCCACCCACACCCTTAAAGGGACAGAGGAGCCGGCTGCAAGACGTGGGCTCATTCTCTGGTCCCCCGCCCGGTCTCAGGACAACCCTCATGCGGCCCCTCTGCCTGTCGGCTTGTCTGTTTCAGCACAAGCCAGCTGCCGCTGCCAAGCCAGCTGCCGCTGCTGCATCCCTTTAAAAGTGCAGAGGGGCTGCGTGAGGGCTGTCCTGAGACCGGGCGGGGGACCAGAGAATGAGCCAGCTCCTCTCTGTCCCTTTAAGCGTGCAGAGTGGCAGCTGGGAGCTGTGCTCAGACACAGCCTGAGCCAGAAGTGAGCGCTTACAGTGCCCTTCCTTAGCGACTAGGCAGGGGTCGATGGAAATTCCATTGACTGCTCGGCTAGTAAATGAATCAATAATTACCCCCGAAGAGGGTGCATTGCCAGCAGAGCTAATGCCCCAGACAGCCAGCAGGAGGCGCTGCTGTGGTGAGTTGCCCCGTTACAGCTTCCTGCTGCCTCTATTACTCTGCTGTTTAGCCAAGGTGGCATTTGTGATCCTTTTACTGGCGTCTATGTTTAGGGTGTGCATTTACTGTGAGCCCCCATTGTGTTGCTTTCAAACAGTTTCCATGGTGCACAGACATTTCATCCTTGCAACTGTTCTTTTAATTTTTTTCAAACACAACCCATGGTCTGGTAGCACTTTAGAGATGAACAAAACATGGAGATGGTAGCGTGAGCGTTGGTGGGCATGGCCCACTTCTTCAGATGTGCCCACGAAAGCTCATGATCCCATCTACATGTTTTGTTCGTCTCTCAGGGGCAACCAGACCATTGGTTGTTTTTTAAGGTTTTCCTGTTACAAATTCAGCTCCCCCTGAAACTTTTAATTTCTGTTTATCTAGTTTCCTCATTTTTGTGTAGCTGCCATTTGAAGTTAACTGTTACTGTGGTGGGATTCTTTGTGTTTGCCCCCCATTAGGATATTATGTTTAATTGCACCATGGTTGCTATTGCTGAGTCGTGCAGGTATAGTCCCATCTAGGACCAGATCCTGCGCTCCTCTTAGGACTAAATCAAGAATTCACTCTTCCCCTGTGGGTTCCAGGACTAGCTGCTCCAAGCAGCAGCCATTGATGGTTTCCAGACACCTCAACTCTACATCCCGCCCTGGCTACTTCTAAACTGCAGGCTTCTTTCAGAAGAAGCTTTTCCAAAAGAGATCTTCCGGGAAAACGTCTTTTGAAAGAGCGTCCACATAGCAAAAGCGCAACGAAAAAGCCATCTGCTTTTTTGCAAGACAGCGTCCACGTTGACTGGACGCGCTCTCGCATGTAAGGTGTGATGACTATGGACAGAGTGGCCACCAGGACACCTGTGCTTTTTCCTGGAGGCCTCTTCTTTAAAAAAACAAACAAACGAAAAAAAACCCTCTTCCCCGTCCATACATGCCTTTTTCCAAAAGAGCTCTTTCGGAAAAAGGCTTCTTCCTCGTAGAAAGAGGTTTACCGCTGTCAGAAAAACCCCTGCGTTCTTTTGAAAGAACACAATTACAGTGTGGACGTAAGTGTAGTTTCCCAGAAAAACGGCCGTTTTTCCGGGAAAACTCTGTAGTGTAGATATACCCTCTGAGCTGACCATATGGGGAACACTGGAACTGCCCGTTATTATCCAGACAGACTAATGTACCCCAGTTGTCTTTCTGAAGACACCCCAGTTGCGGATCTGAGGAGAGCCCTCTTTAATGACTGTTTGATGGATTCAAACCCTGGCCTAGAGAGTTGTCTGCATTGTAGGATCTACTTCCTCCCTATAAATACTGAAATTGGACATCCCTCTGCCGTCTGAAAACTGTCTGGCTTCCAAGGCAGCAGAGTTTAATTATCTGCACCTGTGCACAGTTACACTGTTGTTAGAAAATAAGGTACACGTGACGCATGGAAATCTCCACACAGCAGTGGTTCAGCAACCAGGCTGCTACGGGTGTGCCACACATCTGCATGGCAATGGATGGGCTGGGGACTGGCACGATTTAAATTCTACAGCGCGGGAGCTGAACACGTAGGTATATTCATAATGTGATGTTTCTGGACTACTGAATTTATAGACAGCGGAAATACTTAGCCATAGAAACATTCTTCTGCTCCGGCGTCAGGTAATATCTGGCTGCACTGGAGTCCTGGCCGTGGCCCCTTAGTCTCCAGTGCCCTCAACTGGAATTGCGGTCGCATCTTACACCATTATCTGTCTTCGCACTTATCTGCACTGCCAGAAAAGCAGCATTTTTACTTTGCGGTGAGTCACGTGTATGAGCTGTCCTAAGGGAGGCGCATTGCTCTCCCCACACGATAAAGTAAAGGACGTCAGCCTTGTATTCCTGCCTGGAGACCTTGCTCTCCCCACACGATAAAGTAAAGGATGTTAGCCTTGTGTTCCTGCCTGGAGACCGGGTTGTGTCTGCTCTTCACTGTGGTTTCACCGCAAGATAGCTAGCTCGCTCACGCTAATTACCTCCAGGTAAATTCTAAATGTTTTTAATACCACATCTACTGCTTCCCTCTCCTCCACAAGGCTTGTTACCCTGTCAAAGAAAGGTATTAGGTTGATTTGTTCTTAGCAAATTGATGCTACTCCTCTTCACCTTATTATCTTCTAGGTGACTGCAAACTGCTTAAATATTTGCTCCATTCTGTTTCTGGGTACTGATATAATTTATTATTTTTGTTGAAGTTGCCTCTTTCTTTCCCTTCATTTACTTAGTGTGTAATTAGCAACCTCCTCCCTTCTAGGTGAGATGTCAGAAAAGCTGAGGAGATGCAGGAAGGAACTGACAGCAGCTATAGATAGGGCATTTGAAGATCTCACGTCTCCTTTCCGTCACTCAGAAGACTGTAGCGATAACCAGAATGTAGACTTGCAGACGGAGACACCTTCCTCCTTGCCCCAGCTGAACCGAGTTAGTTACAGACGGGAGTCCCTCTCCACCATCTCTTCCTTCCTTGACCAGTCTGCACCAATCTCCTGTTCACTGGAAAAAGAGAATCCTGTTTTCATACCAAGTCTTATTCCAGTAACCATTGCCCCAAATCCCTTGGGCCCCAAGAGAGAACCTTTGACAAGCAAGGAGAATACTTGGCTATGTTCTTCTGCTTCGGGGCCTGACCAACAGCTTCCGAGAGCTCTGAGGGACAGTGAGCGCTGGAGGAAAGCCCATGCGAGGTACCGTCTGTATTCGCAGTTCTTGCCATGAATGCGGTTAGGGCGTGAGCCTGGATGGACAGGAGTCCAAGACGAAGACGTCCAAGAGGAGGGAACGTCAGAGGAGACACGTGCAGGAATGGTCTCCGGGAGCTCAGCCAGTAGATACTCCTGAAAGGGGAATGGGCTCTAGTGTTCCGAGCAGGGGGACTAAGAATAAGGATGCCAGGATGTTCTTTCCAGCTGCCACAAACATCTGTGGCAGGTCTTGGCACCCTCCCTTGCCCACACTTACCCTCCCACCTGTAGGCGGAGAAGGCTGCTTGCCTCACCAGGCTGCGAGGCATATTGCCAGCCCGTGTTGTTCTAGGGCTTAGGCTACGTTACACAACGGTGCCTTTTGGCCTTCAAAGCTGCCGTCTCCTATTCTCGCCATTGCAGTAGCATCTCGCGGCCCCAGTCTCGAGGCTCCTTTGTGTGAGGGGCTGTCCAGTAGGAGACAGGCCCTGTTGCAAAGAGCCTGACGTGCAACCTGGAGAAAAGTGTCACAGTGCCTAGGGCCTTCCCAAACTCATGGGCCAGGCTAGCCATCAGTCAATTGCGTGTTTTTACCGTGTTGTAATGGTGGGGTTCCTCGCCCATAAATGGAGGGCAAGGGTTACAAAGCGGCTGTGGGTTTCCAGCCCTCGTTTCTGTGCTGCCTGCAGGGCTGGGCTCTGAAAGCAACAGCCAGGGAGCTTATTGCAGCTGTAGGAGGCTCCTGGAGCTGGGGGTGAGTCTGTGGGGCTAGGAGTGCTCTAGGTGGGGCTCCTCCCTGGTAGTCCCCACTGGCTGGGGAGGGACAGGACTTACTCCGCCCTGCATGGGCACTCTCGGAGCGGGGGGGAGGGGAGGAGATCCAACCCAACTCTGGCTACCTCTCCCAGCTGCAGGAAGCTCTGGGGCTGGGCAGCAACGTCGAAGGTTCATGCAGCTGTAGGAGACTTATAGAGGTGGGTTTGATCCTGCCCATGCTGCTCACAGCTGGGGACTCCTACCTGCTAGTCTGGGCCAATGACAGATTGATGCATGGGCCCATGTCCGGGGCCCCCAGAAAAAGGGATCCCCTGAGCACTGTCACTAGCTGTGTGTGCAGAAACCCCACGCTCTGGCAGTGAGGGGGGGAATCAGACCCACCTTCACTTGTGCTGCCTCTGAAGGGAAGACTGATCTGCCTGCGAGTGGCCGTGCGAGGGAAGGACAAGTCCTGTGCCTCGCCCACCTGGCCAAGACTAGCAGCTATGGGTGGGGAAAGCAGGGAAGGGCTCTGGCCATGGCCCACTTTCACAGCACGAAATTGGCTGGGAGCTCCACTTGCGCAGTAGCTCTCACGCCTACACCAGCCTTTCCCCATAACCCCGTTTGGCTGTGGCCCTCGTCAATCTCTGTTTTCGCTGTCCCCCATTCGACAAGTGTCCAGGGCAGCTTGTCCAAGAACCTCCCCTTGTTTCCTCTAGCAAAACTGCTACAAGGTGCACGAAGCCAGAAGCAAACGCGGCCGTCCATGGTGGGCCCCGAGATGCTGCACAGGCTCTTCCTGACACACCCGGTGAGTCCAGCTCACAGCGAGTCTGGCCGATGGGCTCTTCCCGTGCTGGGAAAGTGACTGAAAACGCTGCCTCAGCCCTTGGCAGAAGGGGCCGAGAGGGCCTGTAGACAGGGGCTGACCACAGGCAATGGGGCCGTTGGACTCTAAGCCACCTGCTCAAGAGAGCTCAGGCGGGAGGGAACGTTGCTCACAGCCAGTGATGCCTGGTGAACGAGGGGACATGGTCCCTTGGGTGACTGGCAGCAGGGGTATCCTCAGCAAAAAGCCAAGCCTGGATTTGACAAGGAGGCTAAACTACCTGCTCACCCCGGAACATGGCCCTGCATCCGAGGTAGGGGCAGCGCAGCAGGCACCAACACCTAGAGCGGGCCGGGGACCTGCCCCTCCTCTGATGATGCAATCCTTGCAATCCCTCCTGAAGAAGCAGCCCCCCATGACTTTAAGCCCAGGCCCCCCTCAAAAGTGTAACTGCTACTTGGAATTTAAAAGTACTTTCAGGTTACACCCTGCAGTTCATGGCCGGCCGACCCTCCCACTCCCCTGCCTCTTTAGGAGCCACTCTCATGAGCAACACCTCATCCAGAAAGTCAAGAACGTGTTGCACCTGGGGGCAGTGGAGGAGGTCTGTCGGGACACGAAACGAAAAGGGTTCTACTCCACTAATCCCTAATCCCAAAAGCAACAGGAGACCTCAGACCAATCGTGGACTTGCCTCATGTTTCCAGGGCACAGGTGTTTCCTCCACTCTGTGCTAGGCTAGCGCTGTTTCCAATTCACGGTGCTGCCCCTCGGTCTCGTCAGCCCCGAGAGTGTTCACAAAGCGCAGAGTGTTTTAATTGTTTGTTCGTGTGCACTCCAGCTGGGTGACTCAAGCCCTTGTTAGGAGGTGGGGACAGAGTTCTGCACTGCTTGGCTGGTAATGGCATAGTGTGCAGCAAAAGCATGGCCAGACCACCAGGCTGCCGCCCTGCAGATCTCGTGTGGGGACCCGGGCCTAGAGAGCTATGGATGAGGCTTGGGGCCTGGTGGAATGCACTGTCAGCAGTGGGGGCATCCCTGCCAGGTAGAAGCATTCCAGGACGCAGGCCTGCCGGTGGGGAGCTATGTGGTGAGGACACAGGCTGACCTTTCATCCCCTCAGCGCCTGCTGTGAACCACTGCAGAGTTCCTGAATGGTTTTGTTCCGACTTTACAGATTGCTAATGCCCTACCAACATCTAAGGAGTAGAGACTTTGTTCCTGGCATTGCAGTCTTGGGAAAAAAGACTAGGAGGAAGATGTCCTGGTTCATATGGGACTAAGAGACCACTTTTGGGAGGATTGCCAGATGGGACCACAGTCAAACTTGATTCTTATGGAGATCCCTAATCATAGGGGGCTCTGATGTAAGGGCGCTGGCAGAAGTAACTGCTACCAAGGACGCAACCTTAGAAGAAAAGCAGAGGAGGGAGCAGAAGGCCAGAGGCTCAAACAGTGGACCCATCAGTCGAGACAAGACGAGGTTGAGGTCCCAGACAGGGACTGCCTGATGAACCCGGGAATAAAGCTGCTCTAGGCCTTTTAGAAAGCGGCCGACCACGGGGCTGGCCAATGCGGAGCGTCCAAGCAACTCCGGGTGGAATGCTGACATTGCAGTGAGGTGGACCCTAAGAGATGAAACAGGCAGTCCAAAATGGCAGGTGCTGGGGCACCCGTAGGGTTGAAACTGCTGCATTGACCAGACTGAAAACCACTCCCACTTGGCAAGGGTAAGTGGCCTGTGGAAGAACCCGCCTACCATGGCCAGAACATGAAAGCTCCAATGTTTAGCCATGAAGCATCCATGCTGTGAGGCGGAGCGGCTTCAGGTTGGGTTTGTGTAGCCGACTACGGTCCGGGAACAGGGGAGCGAAACCAGTCTGCAGAGACACGTCAGCAGAGGGGTGTACCAATGCTGGCGGACCCAGGCTGGACTATGAGAACGACCTGGGCTCAGTCTCCTCTGATCTTGAGGAGCACCTTGTGTATGAGTGGAATTGGGGGGGAGCACTTAGGAAGGACTCTTCCAATGTAGATCAAACGCATCCGCTAGTGAGCCTGGACTGTGGTTCTGGAAGAAGCAAAATGGTTTTCGTTTCATTGGAACACAAGAACGGCCATCCTGGGTCAGCCCAAAGGTCCGTCCAGCCCAGGGTCCTGTCGGCCGACAGAGGCCAATGCCAGGTGCCCCAGAGGGAGGGAACAGAGCAGGGACTCATCACGTGATCCCTCCCATCGCCCAGTCCCAGCGTCAGAACATTTCGTGTTGTGACTTGTGACGAATAGGTCTATCTGCGGGTGACCTCAGTTCGGGAAAACTGATCCCACCACACGTGGCTGGCGAGACCATTCGTGACCACAAGAATATGCTGAGGTGGTCGGCTAACTTGTTCTGCACGCCCTGTAAGAATGATGCCTGCAGGAGTATGGAATGCTCTTGGCAGAAGTCACACAGCGTCTGGGCTTCCTGGAGCTCACGGAGCCGCCCCCCATTGTGTCTCAGCCACCGCAGACGATCTAATGACCATGTCCCACAATGAGACCAGAAGACCCGACAGGCTAGCTGGATAGCCCTTAGCTTCTGATGCTGAAGTGAAGAAGCAGGTGGGAGTTGTCCCAAATACCCTGATTTCTGAGGTTCCCTAGGTGGGCTCCTTAACCCACATCAGATGCCTCTGTCACCAAGGACAGGGATGGCTGCTGGGCCACGAAGGGGACCCCTGAGCAAACCACTAGAAAGTCTGTCCACAACACGAGGGAGTCGAGAGCTGTGCGAGGCAGCGTTACTGCCATGTCCAAACGGTCTCTGCCGGGCTGGGAAACCGGCACTAGCCAAGACTAAAGAGCCCTGAGCCTGAGTCCGGCATACTGTACCATGAGCATGCATGCTGCCATATGACCCAGCAGTTTTCTACAGTGCCGTGCCATTGCAGTGGGAAACTGAGAGCCTACATACTCTGTCAGGGCCTGAAACCCTGCCTCCAGGAGGAATGCTCTGGCCTGGCTGGAGTCGCTCTGTGAGAGGGGCTTGCCCTACACTGGCCCTTTAAGGGCAAACCTAGCCCTAAGTGAGGGCGGAGAGGGAAGCCCCAACTGAGGCAGCTCTGGCTAAGGAGGGCCCAGCTGGGGCTGTATAAAGGAGAACTCCTGGAGAGAGAGGGGGAAGGGGAACTGACGGCTGCTCTGAACAGAGCAGTAGGGACCTGATTGCCAGGGAAGCAGGAGGCTTTCTGGAGGTAGAGCAGGGCTGGGGAAGCTCTGGCCAAGCAAGCCCCCAAGCGGCGGGGCCTGAAGCAGCCAGGTTAGGCAAAGGCCGCAGGTCCACCCCCTTTGCCAGTGCTGAGTAGCCATTGCAGATGCAGTTTGCCCGAGGCAGGGGCGAGATGAAGGCTGGCTGTGGGTCACTGAGGCAAGGTGGGGACAGGGGAACTGAGTTCCCCGGGGAGGACAGGACCCTGGCGTGCACACAGGATAAACACCCACCCCTGGAAAGGGGCTCAGAGAGGCTGGAGTTGGCCCTGCCGGGGGTCATGTCCTGAAGAGGACGCCATGGTCAAAGAGGAACACGGGGAGACACCAGCTAGAGGGCGGCGCCCAGCGAGGCGACAAGCAACCAGCTGCAGGTGCCATTGTGCTGAGTCTGCCCCGTCTATCCTCTGGACCAGGAATAGAGTAGATTTGGCCTCTCTTATGCTGAAGGTGGCCTTGATAAAGATGAGATGGGCAGCTTGAGACTCAAGTCACCCGGGTACAGAAAACCCTGGATGCAGTGCCTGCGCAGGAGGGTGGCGACCACCGCCATGTGTTTGGTGAAAACCCTTGGCGTGGCTGGCAGTCCAGACAGCAGGGCTGTAAATTGGGAGTGGATGCCATTGACCACAAACCTGAGCAACTTTCTGTGAGGTGGGTAAGTGGCAGTATGAAAATAAGCATCCTTTCAAGTAGATCAAGGATGGCAAACCAGTTTGGTGGATCCAGAAAGGGTGTTACTGTGGCCAAAGAACCACGCAAACCTGGTCTTTTTACAAATGTAGTCCGCTCTTGCATGGCCAGAACAGGACTCAGCCCACCCTTGGCTTTCAGAATTAGAAAGTCCCAGGAGTAGAAACCCTGTCCTCATAGCTCCTGAGGAAACTCTCCTGCTGCCCATTGCTAGAAGCAACTGCACCTCCTGGACAAGGAGTTGCTGGCGAGAAGGGTCCCTGAAGAGGGGAGGGAGGAAGAGAACTGGGTGGAATGCCCCCTTTCTGTTGTGCGGACTCACCGGTCTGGAGTGATGCAAGACCCAGCATGGTCGAAAGGGGCAGGCGCGGTGGATCCAGAAGAGCGATGGCTCTTCAAAGGGGAGCGCCTGGGTCGTTTGCTGGACCTCAGACTGTAGGCCTGAAGCCACGATCCCCTTCTCATGGTGACACCTGCATCCATGACTCGGGTGCCGTGTCAGACACACCGGGAGACGAGCCTGCCCTCCTCTGCCATAGCTAAGCATTCAGCCCTGGAGCCCTGTGCCAGCAGTTCTGTGCATTTTGCCATTGACGGTCGTGCTGTAGGAATACCTCCTCAGCGGCGTGCTGGCTTGAGAGGAAGCGGCAAACCCCTGCAGACCATAGAGATCGAGGTGCTTTACCTCCCTGGCTTTGGGGAGGCAGCCTGCAAGCCCAGCACTCCCGCCGAGTTGGGCAGAGCGTGGCTACGTAGGTGCTCGTATCCCCGAGAGCAGCATCTCTGGGTTCTCTTGGCTGGGGGAGGGGGTGCGAGGCCAGGGTTTGCCAGAGTTTTGTGTTGCCCAAGATGCTCTGACGAGTGGGAGGGCAACACGCACAGGACCAGAGGGGTGAAGATGGCAACCATGGGATCACAGCCTCAGTCCCTTCTTTGGCCTAAATGCCCAGGCCCTGAGCAACTCCCCTGAGTTGTTGGAGAACCCTATTGTCTCCCAGGGTGGGGATCAGGGCTGTGCCAGCTATCGCCTCCTCTGGGGATGACTAAGGTGATTTCCCACACGAGGTGCTGGTTCCTTGCCCTCTGCTTCCAAAGGGTCTCGGGGGCAGCCTTCCTGACGAGGCAGTCATGGCACTAGTAAGTGCCCTGGCAGTGCCTGTGGAGCCGTGGATGGAGTCAGCTCTTCTTCATCTGTCTGCACCCTCAGCATCAACGAAATCATGGGGGGTGGAGCAGCATCTGGTGCTGCAATCGTTGGTGCCGGGCTTGGTGCACCCGGCGGCAGGAGTAGGGTACCCGATGCCGTGGGCCCAATCGGCAGTGTCGGGGTTGCTGTTGGTGGTGCCATAGTTAACACCCCTACATTGGAGCTGTCGATGCTGAAGCTGGGACAAAGGAGGCTGATGCTGCCAACATCACCCTGGAATGGGAGTGGAGAACCTGGCCCTGGCTCTCATGAAAGGCCCAGAGTGTCCAGAATGGCCGCTGCACCAGCCACAGCATTGGGTGGGAATGGGAGCTCTGTCTTGATGCAGATCACCTGCTGGAATGATAGGAGTTGGACTCAGACCCCAAGGCCTCTGGTGCCGAGGACTGTGGAAGAGCCGTGGACTGATGGGTCCTGGCTAGGGCTCTGTGAGCTCTGAGGCTCAGACAGCTGGTGCAGCACTGTGGCTTGGTGTTAGGGAATGTGCCATCATGGCCGGCTTGCCACGGGGTGGCGAGTGGGTAGCCATGTCCTTTGCAAATGTCTCGCGTCTCCTGGAGAAAACGGTCATGGCGTGCATGAGCTCCTGGGCAGCCCGGAATGCCTCTGGAATTCCAAAGCAGCAACAGGGGTGGTTGGGATTGGACAACCAGGTGTCGGTGGGAGTGGATGCAGAGCCCTAAGCTGCTTGGGACTCACGTGCCTGACTCCCTGTGCCTGGAGTTGGGAAATCTACCCCGTCCTACCTCTTCTTTTCCTGAGGGACTGGGATGGTGCCTGCGCGCCAGCTGGGAGTTCTGCGCAGAAGATGAAGTGCTTGGTGCTGGGTCTGAAGACCCCTGGTCTGACTAAGAGGTGCTGCAGCCCCCTCAGAATGACCTTCAGACACTGAGCTCTCTCCAAGTCCTACTTCTGAATGTCTTGCAAACTGAGCACCGGGTCCCTTTGGCTCTTGCCCAAGCACTTCAGACATGGAGCGTGGGGATCGCTCTGGGGCACTTTCTGCAGGCTTTGAAGCCTGGTGACGAAGGCATGCCCCAGAGCTGGGGACTCAAGGGAGGATAGAGCATCCCTCCCAAAAAGCCAAACTAAAAAATGACTGACTGCACTAATAAAACTAATTACAGCTGTTGAAATGAATAGGTAACTGCTAGCGCCGGGGCGTTCCAGCTAAGTCACTGGCAGCAGGAAGGAACTGGGGAGGGAGCGGTGTGGTGGGGCTCTATATTGGATGCCAGGAAGGCCCACTCCAGGGGACACCCAGGCTGACCCTGTGGTTAACTGCTAAGGGAAAGATCTTCTGGCTACTGGAACGGATGTGAATACTTGAAGAACCACCACTGGTCCCCCACATGGCATTTTCCTTTGTTTTGTAGGGAACCCAAACATCTGGTCTATAGAGGAATTAGCAGGCCCGCTGGCCCTACCGAATGAGTTAAGCAGAGTTCACAGGCACTCAGGTGAGCCCCCCTTTAGTGAAGATGTTTTAGCCATCTTCACGGATGCGAGCAGCAGTTCTGTGACAAGGCCTGTAGTCCAGCACCGAAGACAAAGCATTGAGGAAGAAGAGATTATCCAAACAGTTCTGGATTTAGAAGAGGATTACAGCATGACCAGTTCTGCTCTGCACCATCTGAACTAGGGGACTGGCTCAATGGCTTACACAGGCACGGACTTGAGAAACAACAATTCTCAAGCATGGAGCCTTTTGGTAGAGAAAGTTAAAATAAAGTAGCCATTTACAAACTCTCACTAGTTCCCGCTGTTTGTTTGCAAACTCTTCCTTATTTATGGCAGTATTTTGTACTGTTAGGCTGTGTCTACATTGGCATCCTTTTCCGGAAAAGGGATGCTAATGAGACACTTCGGAATTGCAAATCCCGCGGGGGATTAAAATATCCCCCGCGGCAATTGCATGAACATGGCTGCTGCTTTTTTCTGGCTCGGGGCTTTGCCGGAGAAAAGCGCCAGTCTAGACGGGATCTTTCGGAAAAAAAAGCCTTTTCCAGAAGATCCCTTAGGGTATGTCTACACTACAGCGCTAATTCGAACTAACTTAGTGCATCCCGTCAATGGCTCCCCCGCCGCTATAAATTTTAAACACAAATGGTCTGGTAGCACTTTATTAGTTCTGAAGCTCCAGGGGGTAGCCGAGTTAGTCTATAGTGTGGGCCAGAGGTAGTTTAAGCATGAAGAGAAAGGAGAGTTTACTGCTTCTGGCATGGAAATCCACAGCACTCCCACCCTTACAGTATGCTTGCATTGTAACTGGGGGCATAAGTCCTAGTGTTAGCAGATAGACAGGCGCTAGTACTAAAATTAGCAAACAAAAAAATAGTAGGGGAGCCAGAGATAGCACAAGCTGCAGGTCAGGTCAGTTCCCTGAGTACAAATTCACCCAGATGCCCAGGTATAAACTAAGCTCAAGCCAGAACCCATCCTATAATTTGCTGTACTGATATTTTCAGCAGTCTAACAGTGCAGTATAGATGCACCCCTATTTCGATATAACTAGTGCTATTTCAAAACTATGCAACCGTCTACATAGCCATTCTATTATTTCAAAATAAGACCGCTTATTCCAAAATATGTCAACCTCATTGTATGAGGAATAATGCCTATTCCAAAATAGCTAGTTCAAAATAAGACATGTGTAGATGCTCTACTGCTGCTATTTCAAAATAGCCCCTCACCAGGACCATTCTAAGTTATTCCT